ACTCAACCACGCCGCATGCTAAGGCCGCCCGTCCGGCGAAACCCACGGCCGAGGACGACCTCCTGCGTAGGTTCCATGCACGCGCCGCCGCAGAGTACGTCCCTCCCGCATTCATTTACGTATCTAATTCAGCGGGTCCACCCAGGCGTGCTCATGCAAAAGCGCGGGCCGAACACCAGGGCGGGTGCGCGTCGCGGTCGTCGGGGGGTAGGTTGAGAGGGGGGTCGAGCCACACCTAGTCTATACCAAATTTTGGGAAAATCTTGATTGACCATCGTGTTGCTTGAACTTCGAACGCTTGAACCCACGAGCTGTCGGCACGTTTTAACGGAGGGTCGGTGGCGGCGGCGGGTGGTCAGTAGTCACATGGAACTGTACATACTTTTAAGTCAGCAATGGATTTCGAGCAGCGGATCGCGTCTTACCAATGTCCACCCGCTTGAACACAAAGTCGTTAGTGGTGTCTTTGTCGTGAGGAAACCTTAGCTGATCATAACGAATAGCAGCCTCACCACCGCCCAAAATAACGCTGCGAAGGAGGCGGAGGAGGACCTGCTCCTTGCGAACAATTATTTCGAGCGCATTGGTCGGCGTCAAAAAATCCACGAGTACGCCGTTCAGCGTCATTTGCAGGCGCCCAACAAATACTCCCTCGCCATGATCAATTCCACCTGGAACAACCTCCAAAACTCCGAGATGCAAACCCCACCCCCGCTCTGCACCGAAAACAGCGCTTTCGATGCCAAGGCGGCCATCGCTCGCGGCCGCGCCTCGGCTTTCCAAGAGGGGTCCGGTGAGGCCGAGCACGCCTGGGCGTACGATCCCAGTTCCACCGACGACACGAGCATCAGGGCGCTCGAACACGCGTACACGGCCGACAGTGCAGGCGTCGGAGGGAACGACTCGGAGGAGATCGAGGGCGGCGAAGGCCACCGCAACGCCCCCGGGCCGTATTCTGTCGAGGAGGCTGAGCTCGCGCTGGAACACATCCAGGAGGTGGTGCGGCGTCTTCGTCCCGGGCGCCGTTGCCAGTACCACCTTGGCTAGGTGGGTTGAGGTCGCTCCGTTCGCCTTCACGTTGCCGTCTGACCTCCCCGCCTCGCCAGCGCGCCGATTCGGGTACATCGCCACCGTGCGATTTTCTTGGTTCAGGGTTTTCAGGCGTTCAGTAGCACCGGTAGTCGGAATTGTCCTTGAAATTAATCGCCCACCATTTTGAACCCAAAAAAAAAGATTTATTTGACTAGCATGTGCGTGAACGAATACAAGAAAGGTCAAGCCCAGCGCCGTTTGCCGCGCTGGAAGAAGGGTTGCTCCCCGGGCTTAGGCACATAGTCGGGTGCCGTGGTTGGGTCCTCGTAGTCGAGAAAATAGTTGAGCAGGTCCTCGTAGGGCGCAGAGTCGGGCGGCCGCGGCGGGACGTCGCGGGTGTCGTCATGCGCGTCGCGTTCGGAATTTGAATCCCCTGGCAAGGGGCCGTGCTCGGAATCCGAATCGGACGGCCATTCGGGCAGGTCCTCCTCCTCCTCGCGTGGAACTATAGGATGGCGCTTGAGATAGCCTTCATGCCATGCTTTGAAGCCAATCTTCGCGATGGATTTTCTGCGCAACATATGCAGTCGACCTTCTGGGAGCTTGGACCACGACGCACCTGCTGCGGTAGCTGCATTGGTTGAGCGCAAGATCCTCCGCATGTCGGGCACGGTATCGCGCGGCGTCTTCTTGAGCCTTGGCGCGGTAGGAGGCCCAAGCCTCGTCCGACTTCTTCAACTCAGCGCGACGCCTCGCCATGCGCTCACGCGCCTTCCTCTGCAGCTCTGTTTTGTTCCTGGTCGTTAGGCGTGAGTGAGATAGGCCCATAAAATGAAGCAACCGGCGCACCTTTCACGATACCGCAAACTGGCGGCTCGCTGAGCATTGGTGACTTTTCGCTTCATTGCGCCGGCGCCAAGCCTCGTGAATGGTTATCCTCAGCGTAGGTGAGTTCAGTGGTCTGCGAAGGGTAGAAGTGAAGGGAGTGTGAGGCGTCGAGTCGGAAAAGTCGGCCACCGATGGTCATGGTTTGGGCCCAAACTCGGCCTTGAATCGGTTTGCTGCGCTGAATATTCATTGAACTCCCCAAAGTTCACGAAAAATGGGGGAAAATTCAGATAGGTCCGCACCGGTAGAAGATTGATAGTCGTCCGCGAGTCGGTGGCCAGGAGAGCGAGTGGGCGGGCGCTAGCTTGCTGTCCGTGGCGCCCGGCTAGTGGTGTGTTCGCCATAGCGTAACAAGTTCGCTATGCGCTCGAAAAGGAAGCCCTACAACGTCACCAAAGCCCAATATAATTATGGACGATTTGTCACGAACTTCAAAAAAAGCTGATTGCAATTTCAATTCCTATGTGCATGACAAGGGTATGGATGGGTCGCAAAATGTATATACGCAAGACGTGAGTCCCATTTCAATCACCGCCCGCCGCCTGCCAAATTTTGTACATCTTTACACCTTCCTGCCAACGCGCCGCGCGATCCGCTTGGCGCTGCGCACGCTCCTGTGGGGTGGTCGACGCCGAGGTGTTGATGTCCTGGTCGGTACGGAAGCCGTTGTACACCCAACGGAAGATACCCGCGGGTGTAAACTGGGTGAAGGAGTAGCGGCGCTCCCCGGGTTGAATCTTGACGTTGGAGTGGCGGAGGATGGCGGAGGGTATGAGGATGCTGGAGCCCGGGGGGAAACGGATAATGAGTTTGAGGTCCCAGAGGATGAGATGGCCACCGCGGTCGGGGTCGAACCACCCAAGGGCGGTGATAACGCACCACCCCCACGCAAGGTTGCCGAAGTCGATGTGGGGGAGCGTGACGGTGATGGGGCCGAAATTGAAGGTGGCGGTCGTGAAGACCGAAAAGGCGGCGCGAAAATTGCGCTTGAGGTGCTTCGCGCGCTGCTGGTTGGCGTCCCACTCATAGAGGCCGTTGATGGTGGTGCGGTAGTATTCGTGGAGGTCGGGTGCGAAGGCCATGAAGAGGACTAGGGCGGATGTTACACGAGAACGGGGCGTGGGGCGCTGGTTTACGTACCGTTAGTCCAGCCGGAAATGCGCTCAAAACATTTGAGCCCAAAGAGGCCTGCGAAGATGGCGAGGTTGGCGATGGAATGGTGGAGCATCATAGGGTACGGTTGCCCGCCGCCCATGGACGCCCCCACGCTCTCCGCCGCATGCGTGCCGCGGCGAGGGGGATTTGCGGCATCAGCTTTCGCCTTCTTCTTCCGCTTCGGACCGTGATAGATCTCCTGCGCCGCGGCCTCCATCGCGCGCGCGGCCGGTGCCACGACCGCCTCTTGCCAGTCGGGCACGTTGGGTGGGAAACCGCCGAGGACGAGGAGCACGCGGCCGTCGCGATCGATGACGGGTTGGGGAACACTGGATTGCGGGCGGCTGATCAGTTGGGGCTCAGGTACAACGTGCGCGAATCCCACTTACCCGTCCCACTCGTAGACTTCAAACTCAGAGTCGATCACGCGGGCCTCGTCGAGGGTGTATTCCCGTAGTTCGGGCTCAACCTGCCGTTTGCCCATCCACCCGGAGGAGGCGACGGGCAGCGGGTAATCCTCGACGCGGAGTTCCAGGCGGAGCGCGGTGGTGCTACGGACGCGAAGCTGGGTGATCCCCTTGAGGGCCGACCCGGATTTGACCCGCCTGTCCTCGCGGTGCTCCCGCCGAATGCGACGATCGCGTTCGCGCTTGTGGAGGCGCTGTTCTAGGCTAACCCGTTTGCCCACGGGTTTGGTTCGACGCTCCTGCGCGGTAACGGGGGCTGGAGGGCCGCGGGGCACGGGTGCGGGGGGGGGGGCGAGGGTGAGCGTCGAACCACTCGGATTACCCGCTCAAGGAAGGATTTGGGAGGTGGAGGTGGCGGCGGCGTGACCCAGTGAGTGAATGTGGTGCCGCGAGGATCCGGCGGCGCGTCGGGACGACGGACTCGAATGCCCGTGGCAAGAAAGGGTTGGGGGGCTGGTGGAGCGGGCGGTGTGACCCAGCGAGTGAAGGTGGCCGGCGGATTCTTGGCGGCTTTGAGTGAGTCACGGTGCATTCGGGCGGTGAAGATGGGCGCGATGCCGTCGGCTCCGTCGCCATCGTCGTCCAAGTCATCCGAGTCGGACCCGTGCAGTGATTCGTCGTCCGAATCGGGCTGGGCGGCGCGGCGCACCAATAGTTCCTGCAGGCTGACACGGTTTGTGCGATAGGGTGTCGCTTTCTCAAACGTGAAGGGGCTGAACTCGGCGCCTGAGCGCGTCTGGCGCGGCCCGGGACTCTGGGGATCTAGCGCAGATTGTCAGTGGGGTGAAGGCAGCGCAGAGGAGGTAGAGGGCGAGGGCGAGGGTCGCATCTCCAAGGTCGGAGTCGCGCCAAGGGCAAAAAAAAACGGGGGCGGCAGTATTGCATCTCCAAGGTCGGAGTCGCGTCAAGAAAAAAAGGGAGGGGGGTATTGCATCTCCAAGGTCGGAGTCGCGCCAAGAAAAAGGGCGGGGAGGAGGGGAGTGAGACGGACTTACCGACCATCGACCGCACAGAAGGTTGGGGCTGAGTTGGTTTGCATTGCAGTGGATCGAGCTGCCATTATGTAGTACGATTTCAGGACGCCGCGGTGTGGCGGTAGCCTTTCCAAGGGTATTGGATTGCCAGAAAAACTCGCCAGCGGGCCTCTAGAACAGCGCTGGTCTCGACTAGCCTTTTAGAAATCCAATTTGGAATGGCAGAAGGTGGTGAATGGCGCGTTTGAGTAGCTTTAGAAATCTCGTGTGGAACGATTGCGTGCTGAATTGCAGAACGACGTGGCAAAGCTACATGGTCGTCGGGTCGGGTGGCAAAGCTGCAGTGTCGGGTTGGTCGTCGGGTCGGGTGGCAAAGTCACAGCGTTGGCGCGTTATTGACGTGTAGTCAAGAGCAAATCAATTTGCTTTCTGAGCACGAGTAAAATCGGTTGATGTTGACTTTGGATAAACCACTAGCCCCGATGGCTGTATGGTACAGCAGTATCAGTCTCGGTCCCGCCTTCATAAGTGGAACCGAGAGTCGAGAGTTCGATTCCCTCTCCCGCCATCTTCGTCCATTCTTCCTGGTTTTTGTGCTGATTTTTTTTTTTTTTTTTTTTTTTTTTCTTCATTTATTGGCTGCGTTTGCATGTCTTCTTTTGTCGTCGTCATAAGGAAGTACAATCTCAATTATGTCTCGCTTTTTTTTCAATCACCAGTAAGACCAGCGCATGAAATGCATTTTATTCAAGAAAAATCATCCAGCCAACGACGTGTACGAAGGTAGGGTAAGGAATGCGACAACGAGTACGAATGTAGGGAGCGGAAAGCGGCGACGCGACGTATTCTGGATAAAATAGAGGGACGGTGAGCAACGAGGAGGAAGCAGGGGCAGGGGGGACAAACTTGGAGGGGGGGGGGGGGGGGGGGGGGCACCCAAGGTACCTCAGGCGTTGGCGCGCGCGCGCTTCATGCGCTGGTGCGTGAACCACGACTTGATGCGCTGGGGAGCGCTCAGTACTGAGGAGGGAGGGAGAGTAGTGCGAGAACGTACGGCCTGGATGTTCTTGATGGCGACGAGGCGCTCGTCGACCTCGTCCGGCGTGAGGCGGACGTCGCCAGGGTTGGTGGGGCGGCAGGGGAACTCGTCAAAATAAAGCGAGAAAAACCCGGGCCAGAACGATCGTATCTTCTGGGCGTCAACGTGCGCATAATACGCGGGGAGCGAGCGCTGGAGAAGGCGGAGGTGTTCGCCCTCAAAGGTCGCTTGGATGCGCATCTTCTTGGCGAAATAATGGTCGGTAATCAGGCTGGACTGGGTGCGCGCGGGGGCGTACGGAAACCCGTCAGCGGCGGCGGACTGGTAGCGTTCGGGGACTGTGCTGGAGGATGCGAGGGTGGTGGAGGCTGCAGTCTCAGTGCGGTCGCAGGGCATGGTGGCGCGTTGTGGGGGGCGAAGGTCTTTCGGTAGGGTGGTGCGTTACCGTTGTGGGCTTTGCTGTGGTGCGTCATTGGCATTGGGCTTGGAGGTCTTTATTGCAAAAGGTACATGTCATGAAACAAGCGGGTAGGATTGAATTTGGAGAAATTTTAAGTAAAGACAAAGTGGGATGGGACCGCTTCTTTGACGGTGCGGATGTCGCCGCGAACCGCGTAATTAATGAGACGGCGGCGTCGGAAAGCCTGTCGGCGAACGAGGTCAGCGAGCGGCTCGAGGCCAATCCAGGCCCGAAGGCGACGCACGTGAGGTGTCGCCACTGGCCTCGAGGGCGCACGCAAGGATGCGTAGGGCGTGGAGGCGGCTTTGGATCTGGTAGAGGGCGTCGGGGTCGTTTTGGCCCCAAGCGTGCTCAAGGACGTCCACGCTGGCGAGGTGCACGGCCGACCAAACCTCAACCGCGGAGCGGAACCGGTGACGCTCCCACTTGCGCTCGATGCCGCCGGGTGTGTCGCCGTGAATTATGTAGATTCGGTATTGCATGGAAGCCGCGAGGTGGGCTGCATGGAGGCCAGTAATTGCGCGGGGCCTGTGCTCGTTGAGGACGGTGGAGCGGCAGGGATGGTGGTACGTACATTTGCGGGCGCGGAGAGGCTGGTAAATTGTCCGCACGAGCCAACAAGGCCGTATAAAAAGCGGGAAGGCGTCGGCTTTCGAAGGGTGGCCCCCGTTTTGGTAGTTTGAAAGGGCGGCGGCTTGTTTGAAAGGGCGGCGGTTTGTGGCGGCGGAAGTTGTGATACCAACCGCTGCACGGTATGAAAGGCGCGGGAAAACCACGTTCATTTTGCGGCGGAAAACGAAGGGCGTGTGGCTTTCGAAGGCGGGATGTGGTGCCGGTTTGGGTAGTTTGAACAAACGGCGATGTTTGACGCGTTAGAACTGTGGCGGACGTTGCAATGCGAAAATTTTGGACAGGGCACGCGGCGGCGGAAAAGCCGCGAGAACGTGGCGGCAGAAGAGTAAGGTCCCCGTTGGCGGCGGATGGTTGGCGTTGCAATGCGAAAAGTTTGGACGGGACACGCGCCGGCGGATGTAACGCAAATTCCGCGCGGCGTCCCTTGTCGCGTTACAAAATCCAGCCGCTGTTCGGTTTTTTCTCCCCAAACGCAACACGTCAAACGATGTCCAACTCCTCCCCGACCGCTAGCCAGCGCACCAGCCCGTACTCCTCCCAGACCCAGTCCACCCCGTCCGCCAAGAAGTACTCCTCCTCCCAGACCCAGCCCGTGAGCCAAGTCGGCCCGCAGAACACCCAGGCGACCACCGACCAGCCAAACCCCGACAACGCGCTCCCCGTCCGCCGCACCTGCCCCATGCCCTTCTACCCCGAGCCGGAGGTCACCGACGTCGACGAGCACTCCGGGAACGCGAAAGCCCTGTTCTATGTCTGCATCCCTGCCCGTGTGCAAGGCGTTTATACCGACGAGTAAGTCGGGGTTCCGCAGATTCAGCGGGGTTGAGTTGGCTGACAACGCTTTGCAGTAAGCGCGCCAGGGCGCTCGTGTCAGGATGGCGCAACGGTCGGGCGCAAAGCTGCCAGACTTACGAGGCCGCGCAGCTCGAATGGGCGATGTGCTGCCGCCGTTGGCACGGCCCCGTGTGCAAGGACGCCCCCGCCGGCCGCACCCGCCCGCCGGTCACAATGGAGACGCGCATCCGGCTGAACCCCGACCTCTTGCCCCTGAAATGGGCGCTGCGCGGCTCGTCCGACGTCTATATCTCTCGGTGCGTGATTTCTGCCAGGTCGTTCGTATCTTCATTGATTTTGTCGCAGCCAGGCCGCGTTTGCCGCTGCAGAGGCCCTGAACTTGAAGGCGATCCACATCCTCGGCAGTTCGAACGCTAGCGACCTGGAGGAGTGGCAATACGCCGACGCGGAGTAGGGGAGCGGCGCAGCGGGAAGGGAGGGCGGGCGACAAAAAAAATTGTACATGTTAAAAATGCGCCCCCGTGAATTCTATCTTGGTTGCTTCGAGTGTCTTTGCGGATTGGAGCATGAGCCTCACCTGGAAAAAAAGTGGAGGATGAAATCGAGACCATCAAAACAAACGAGTGCCACTTACTATTCGCCGCGTTTCCGCTTGACTGCGAAGGCGCGGATGGGGGGAGGTGACATGCGGAAGTGTAATGCGTTAGAACACCGCCTTTCCCTCTGACCACCACGAACAAGAAAATGGCGTCGACGGCGACGAGCAGCGAATCTACGAAAAAGACGACGGAGGTGGTGAAAACCAAGCAAAAGCCAGGCAACAAGGGCGACTTTCACGGCTCTCGGGCGGAGTATCTCCATGAGATGCTCCCCCAATACCTGGCAGCCTCCAAGGATGGGAAAACGCGCAAATTTTGGCCAATTTTGTTTACCGGGTGGTGGGAGCGGTTTGACTGGCGATTAGCGCTGGACGAGGAGCCGGCACCCACCAATATGTTCCTGCCCGACGACAAGTTGTCCCCGGAAGAGATCAAGGCCAAGGGCCGCGCCCAAACAAAAATTAAGGAGGTATGGGTCGTACCCCGCCCGCGTTGCGCTGTGGACTGATAATCAGCGCGTAGAAACTGAAGACATGGTACAACCACAAACGCACCTCGATGGGCTTGACCCGGAACCCCTTCACCGCCTGGCTTGCCCAGCTCCGCCGCCCGTCGCAAAAGTCCCCCAAGCGTATAACCGACTACCAGTTTTACATGCAACACGCCGAGTTTAAAGACGCGGTGAAGGAGAAGTTCGACCAGGACCATTGGGATGCGAAGAGGGAGGACTCAATACAACTCCGATGCCAGGTCGCGCGCAAGCTGTTCGAGGCCGAGCCGGAGGAGGTGAAGGCGCGTATCCGGAAGGAGGCGGTCGAGGAGCACGACCAGGAATTGCAGCGTTGGCGCGATGCGAACGAAGGGCTGCCAGCGGCCGAGCCCGAGGAGCAGGTCGAGTGGGTTTCCGTTTTTCACATATACCGAAAACGAAATTCCTGAACGTCGCTCCGCAGGGCTCGAACGCGTTTGTCGGGCGTCATCAACCCGCTGCTGTGGGCTCTACGGGCGTTTACGGGGTACCACATCACGCTGCTTGCGGGACGAATTGAGGGCGGGCAGGTGGACGTTATCAGCTTGCACGCTGGCACCACAAAGAAGGACGGCGAGGATGGAGGGAAAGATTTCGTTCAATGGGACCTGGAGGCGTTCGAAAAGAATGTATTGAAGCACTTCGTCAGGTATCTGGCCGCAGCAAGTGAGTCGTACATCGAATTTGAAGCAGAATTGGTTACTGACCAAATTAACTAGAAAAGGAGGAGAGCGGTGGCGCGGCGGCCGACGTGGCAATGCCCGACGCCTCGACATCGGCGGGCGACGCATCGACGTCGTCGTCATCGACGGCCCAAGCATCCACCTCGACGCCCTCGATCCCTGAGTCGATGGCGAGCGACCGCGACGTGCCCATGCCCGACGTGTCAGCATCCCCTGCGGTCTCCTCCCAAAATGAGGCCATTCTTCCCCTCGACAATACCGCTGCGACGTCCGCTTCCTTCCCACCGCCCTTCAACCCCAGCGGAGCCCATTTGGACCGGCTCCCTCCTCTGCCGGACGACGTGGAGCCACCAGCGTTCGTTCTGGAGGCGCCGCTGAGCCCCCCGGATGCGCGCGCAGCGGAGGAGGCACTTGTAAAGCGAATCGACGGGCTTGCTGTGATGGAGCCCGACCTTCGCGCCGAGCTTATGGCGTTGGCGTCGCCAGCAAGGGAGACGAGGGTGAAGGAGCTGGAGGGAATGGGTTCGATGGAGTTACGGCGCGTCAATAACCTCGCAAAGAGCGGGGCCGCGATCGCGCGCGCAAGGCTCCAGCAGATTGATTTAACGACGGTGGCGGGCGAGTCGGGGGCGGGCGAGTCGGGGGACGGGCGAGTCGGGGGCGGGCGAGGCCAGGGCGGGCGGTAGGAAAAGGAAGGCTGCTGGGAACGCTGTAGGGGAAAAAAGAAGAAAGACGAAGAAGCCGCGGGCGGTGGTGGCGGAGAGCGACGAGGAGAGCGAGCAGGAGGAGGTGGTGAGGGATGAGCCGGTACAGACGCGGGGAAGAGGGAA